GGTTTAGGGTTTAGGGGCTAGGCTCCTCTAAGGGCTTTATGGGGTGCCATAGGCTTTCACATGTGTGCTTTAAGAGCTGGAGAAAGGAGTTATAAGGTTTTTATACGGTCGATAATTCTCGCTTACCTTTATGTATTTATATATATATATATGTATGCTAAGCCGTGAGAGCGCCATGTAGACCCCTGATTGATACCCAGCTTTTCTTTCGAGATTTTGATACTAAGTACCAGGATCCCCATTACAACTTGCCATCCTCCTTACAGAGAGGCGGTTTAGAGACCATGGGTCTGCATTGTAGTGTATTAGGCCTTATGGGGGATGTTCGGAGGCCCAGCCGCCAAAGCAAGAGTTTCGAATTTGTTGGGTTTGGGCAGTGTTGGGCCCCTGAAGCCAAATCCTTTCTAGAGAAGGGTTGGGAAACTGACCTTGACGACTGAATGCTGGCGTAGACACTTGGTTGATGGACCTCCCTCAATAGTATTTTCGAATTACGTTGATCCGTGTTTAAGTCTATTCAGGGAGTGGGGTTATTCAGCAAGGGTCTAGATTCGCCCACACTGAAACATTTAACTCCCACACATCTAATCTGTAAACCCCACCGCTATAGCTCCAACATGACAATGAAGAAGTCTCTGATCCTCTATGCATGGTTTAGGGATGTCGGGGGTTTCAGGGTTCAGGGAATGATCCTACATGGCTTAGCTTTGGTTTGGGTTTACGCATTCGCCCCCCCCCCCCCCCCCCCCACCCCCTACCCCCACCCACCACCCCTTAAACCCAGAGATCATTGATTGCTAGACTCTTATGTTTAGGTGGTTGTTTGGGCCCTTATGAACCCTGACACCTATTGCTTGCGGAGTCCATGGAAAACTTTACAAACTCGTTCGATGTCCGGTTGACGAACTGTTGCAGATCCTGTTTGTTGCAGGAGACAGCAACCCCAAAAGCCCTGAACCCAAAGCACCGAACATTTCCCTTGAGGCAGAGGAGTTTGAGGCGGAAGTCCGTATGATAGCAGCCGGCTGCGGCAACTTGGCCGTTGAGTTCATCTCGTGTTGCAGAGGTGCTCAATCTTCTGTTTTGGCGTTCCGGGTTCATGAGAGTAGTTGGGGGCGCATGGTTGGCCCGTCGACACTGCAACATGTGCGCACAGCTGCTTGATTCACGCAGCTTCACACGGCACAAAGGATCATCCACATCCCGACCCCACACGACAAACCCTACTTGGAGAGTCGGGGGAGACGTAGTACGAAGTTATCTAGTAGAGTGATACGTAAGATAACACTTCGGGTGCCTTCCAGGGTACTTAACTCTATCTAATACCTACTTGGTGCGTCCCCTGACCCTCCAAGTAAACTCTGAAATTTCAGACTCTGAATCCTACAAGTTGCCCTGTAAACCTTTTAAACCCCAAAGCCCGAAACCCTAA